CGCAGCACACATACCTCTATATCCATTGTAAAGGTCACACTTGGATGTCAATTCTTAATATGGTCTATTGTAGGGTACATTTTTCCAGTTCATAACTTTCTGATCAAACAAATGGTTTTGAGAATACTTAGCACAAATGTTCACAGTAAGAAGATGATTGTGTTGTGCGCAACACTCAGATGCCTACCTTTAAGGTTAATGTCGCATTTGATGATAAAAGGTCAACATCGTCTGTTTGAGGGTATTCGTGGTGTCCTATCCATTACTTTGTCGTCTATCAAAGGATTTTGAAATTATCTGGCCCAAATGTTGACAATTATAAGATGTTGTGTCATAACAACCGCAAAGCCTTATCTCAAAGGTCAAATAATAACAAGAATAAAGATCAACAAGGCAAAGGCAACGTTCACAGGACGCCGCCCCCGCACACACCCAAGCAGGACACCCGGAAGGCACCAAACAATCACCCGGAGTGGACACAAGGCCACACTTATAAGTCAAAACTTAACATGGTCTTTTATATCGTATGTTTTGTATGACATATGTAAAAGCCTAAAATAGTCTTATACAGGGTATGATATAAAGTCAGGCCCATTCAAATAAAGTTTCATTCACATAGATTGATGAGTTGACACAAAATTTACCCTGTAACAAACCGTATCCTGTATTAATTTTGTATTCGTCACATTTTGTGGCTTTGAAATAGTGTTTACAACTATACAAATGAATTTCTGTAGACACATACACAGGAGTTATTATCCCCAAAAACAATGTTTTGGGTGTATATAGGAGTCACCCGGTGGTCGGTTGGTCGGTCGGTTGGTCCAGACGTCCGTTGCATTTTCCTTGTCCGGAGCATAACTTGAAGACTAATGGTTGGAATTCAATAAAACTACATGCAATGGTCAAGCACATTGAGAGGAAGTGCAGTGCACAAGAACCATAACTCTATCTTGACTAATTACAGAGTTATTGTCCTTTGTTACTTTTCCTTGTCCGGGGCATAACTTGAAAACTACTGGTTGGAATTAAAAACAACTTCATACAATTGGCAAACACAATAAGGGGAAGTGCAGTGCACACGAACCATAACTCTATCTAAAGTTAACATGTTATTGCCCTTTGTTACTTTTCCATTGCTTTTTTTGTCCAGACCATAACTTGAAGTCTAATTGTTGGAATTCATTATAACTTCATACAATGGTCAAGCACATTGAGAGGAAGTGCAGTGCTTAAGAACCATAACTCCATCTTGACTTATTTCAGAGTTACTGCCCTTTGTTACTTTTCCTTGTCCAGAGCATGACATGAAAACGACTGGTTGGAATTCAAAACAAGTTCATACAATGGTAAAGCACAATAAGGGGAAGTGCAGTGCACAAAAACCATAACTCCGTCTTGACTAATTACAGAGTTATTGCCGTTTGTTACATTTTCATTGCTTTTTTGTCCGGAGCATAACTTGAAGACTAATGGTTTGAATTCAATATAACTTCATACAATGGTCAAGCACATTGAGAGGAAGTGCAGTGCATAAGAACCATAACTCCATCTTGACCAATTACAGAGTTATTGCCCTTTGTTACTTTTCCTTGTCCAGACCATAACTTAAAAACTACTGTTTAGAATTCAATACAACTTCATACAGTTGTCAAGGACATTAAAAGGAAGTGCAGTGCACAAGAGCCATAACTCCATTTTGACAAAATACAGAGTTACTGCCCTTTGATAGTTTTCCTTGTCCGGAGCATAACTTAAAACGTACTAACAACTTCATACAATGGTCAAGCATAATAAGAGGAAGTGCAGTGTACAAGAACTATAACTCCATCTTCAGTATTTTTTAGAGTTATTGCCCTTTGTTCCTTTTCCTTGTCGTTCAAGACTTATTACAGAGTAATTCAATAAAACTTCATCAATGGGCAACCACATTGAAAGGAAATGCAACATTCAAAAACCACAACTATCTTTTATTGCCCACAACCATAACTCTATATTTCAATTCTTTTACAAGGTATTCTTTACTAGTAACATCCTCATTTCCGAAGCAGTCTTGTGGTGGTATTAATCACATTTAGTGATAGTTCTAGTTTAATTATATTTCTTTAATGAATTTATTGTTATTTACATGTGCAGATCTAGCATAATTGATCAATGTTTTGCACTGAAAGTCCAGATCTATACCTCAATCGTTTGCAATAGCTCAATTTTGTTCTTTATGTAAAATAGATAAATACAGAATCCCTAAAGAAAGCCCAACACGTAAAACTTCCATCAGGCCGGGGATGTTGGTAACTCTGTTATCATTGTTTGTGTTTACTTAATTTTTAAACTTGATTACTATGTTATAGTGCATGCCTGGCCTGAAAATTTACATCTGTATATCTATGTATATATCAAAGGTATAAATATGAAATAAAAGAGACGCTGGAAAATAATGTAATGATTTATTCATGATTTATCCAATAATGTTGCATATAATTAAAGAAATAATGGAAGGAATATAAAAAAAATAAATTGAGGATTTAAACTTGCAACTTCGCGATTGAAATGCCATCGTACTAACCACTAAGCTATTAGGCTGTTACTATGCATGAAAGTATCGAATTTTAAAATTATTTATTTTCTTATTTTGACTCTTAGAATTTGTATTAATCTTTAGGGCTAGTCACAGCTTTAGTTTATAATCAATAGTAATATTATTAATGTTATGATTAACTACCGATAACAAGAATACCATTCATTATCGAATAAAAGAATTGAACTGACTTGCTCCACTATATCTACATTACTGAATCACACCATACTACTTCAACATTTTTATTGTCATCGAAATTAAAATGGAGCGTCCATAGCCAAGTGGTTAACATCGTTGACTTCAACTACTTGCACCCCACTTTCTGTCATGTGAGGAAGCTATCCAGTTATCATTCTTAGCCTGCAAATTATGTTCAACCGGAGTTTGCCCTCCTCCAGTAAATCTGGAAAGTCACAATATGGCGAATACATTGTTGGTACCCCCGTCCCCACCAACCATCTATAATATCCAGTTACCCAGAAATGTGAAAATAACTAAGGCAATCTCCAAAGGTTATGCAATTTTATGGCCAAAAAGCATCACGGTTGGTAAATAAACAACAATATATATCAAGAACTTTTTGGGTACCATGTTTTATTCAGTGAATAAGAATCGTAACTCTGTCTTGTCTTATTTGGGAATTATTGCCCTTTTTCATTTAACCCTTTGAACTTTGTCCGTGACATAACACTGAATCTTCAAGGGGTATCAACAGGAAACTTTGTAGTAGATAGATCTCATTGCGTAGGAATGCAATGAATAAGAATCATAGCTCTGCCTTGTTTTGTTTAAATGTTACTGCCCTTTTTCTTTTTAACACTGAACTTTGTCCAGGACATTACTCTGAAACTACAAAAAGTATTTACAAGAAACTTAGTCGATAAATCTCAATAAGTTGAAGTGCAGTTATAAGAACCGTAAGTCCGCTTTCTTTTCTTAAGAGTTATTGCCCTTTTTATTCTTTGTACTTTGTCTTGGACATAACTCTGAAAACAATCACCAGGAGTATCAACAAGAGACTTAGTAAGCAAATAGATCTCTTTGAGAAAGAAAATAAAGTGCATGAGAGCCGTTACACTGCCTGCCTTGTCTGGTGTAAGAGCTATTGCCCTTTTCCACTTTTACACTTTGAACCTTGCCTGGAAATATCTTTGAAACCACAAAATGTATTAACAAGCTACTTCACTGTGTCCAAAACATATTTGCGGAGCATCATCCAGTTCGATCGGCACTTCTTTAACATTTATCGATAACGCAAAATAATAAGTATTGTGTTAAATTGAACTCGGTATACATGAGGCGTTTGGCAAAGAACTCTTGTCAAATTACATTGAAGAAATTAGATAAAATTTGATTGAGACCAGTTTTACGAAGTACCGCTGAATTTGTGAATGATGTACAGAATCAACGTTCACTTGGTTACTCCATAAAAAAATACTGGAATAGTATTTGCAATTGCTTCTATTTACTATTTTATGATGCTTAGTCTAGTAGTTTAGCTCATGTCTAAGATATAACGGATATCAAAGTAATAAGATTTTATTATATACGTTATTGCGTTTATGCAGACTGATGAAACACAAAAGTCGCTTAAGGTCGTCTTTTGCACGAATGATACTATAAGTTAACATGTTCCAATAAGTTTGTTATGAAGAAAAATGTATAAATAGCACAAATGTTTGTGCGTAACAGTTAAAATATTATCCCGAGGAAAACACTGTTATCTGAGGCGTGAGCCTTATAATCTGTGAAATCTGATCCTAACCAGAATTCTTCATATTCACGGAGGAGGAACTGTTACACAAAGGATGGAGTTCTTATGATAGCTTTCACGGAGTTCCTGGAAAACGTTACGGATTTCTGTGGAAAACTTAATGTTCTTGGTGTAATAATCATTCTAGTGACGTTCCTTCCTGGTGAACTACTGTTGAAAATTACTGTTACCTATATAACAGTGTAAATTTCTCAGTTATTTGGTACACCAGTAAAAATAACTTCTAATGGCCTATGAGTAATTACTATTACAAAAAAGGTGAGGGATAATAAAGTGTAATGTCATAGCAATCGTATGGGCTTATTCATTACTTTTGATTTGATTTACGTTGAATTATTTTGTTCCGTTTATTTACCGTATTACTCTTTTCGGATATATCTCTGCACTGATTCGGCGATAATTTTGCACGATCTATGCACTATTTTCACATTCATGCGATTCTGGATATGCAAGGTTGATACGCTGTGCCAGTTCAAATTTTGCCTCAAACCAACCACGTATTTGTCAAAAGGTCAAGATTTTTGCTAGATGGGGTATTAATCAGCTTAAATTTTAACTCCACTGTAGTTTATTTGGTTAATGCTTGATCATATTTTATATTACAATTTTTATTTCATTCTAAATATTTGAATTATTTATTTTTTACAGGACGATAATTCCAGAGTGGTAGCCCGATTAGACACAAAAATAAAAACTCTTGAAACAAACTTGGAGGAACATATGAAATACATGGACACACAATTAGCAGCGATTCTGGATAAAATAGAAAACAAACCAGAGGAAACTGGTGCTGTCGGAGACAATGTAATTTATGTATTATTGATCACACGTTCCTTTAAACGAATCAAAATATTTACTTGTTTTCGTATTCTTTTTTACAATGAAATATCATTTGAATGGTTTCCTTAATAAGTACTCCGAGGTTATTTTTAATGTCACAGCCATTTCCGTTTTTGCAAAAATGTGAAATTGGCACATTTTGAGGGATTATTTTTGCATATGAAAGACGATTTTTGTTTAAATTATTTATGATTTTGTTTTATTTTTTACCTATACAATTAACAAAGTCACTTTAAGTAACAATTTTTACAATTGGTCATCTTAAATAAATACATGCGCGTAAAATAACGACACAGTAATGACACATCTAATGTTATGTAAAAACAGAAAGCATATAAGAATCATCCGACAGAAATGTGTGTTATCTTTAAAATCTTTCGTAACATTATTAATATTATGTATGTCATAAATTTAATCCTATCTATCTATTTATCTGTCTGTCTGTCTATCTGTCTGTCTGTCTGTCAATCAATCAATCAATCATTTTATTTATTCGTTTAATTTCATTTATTTATTTACTTGTTTATTTATTCATAAAATTTTAGATTATTTATTAATTTACAGGGTAATTCAAGAGTGGTAGCCGGATTTGACACGAAATTTAATCTTGAAACAAAGTTAGAGGATATGGGCGCCCAATTAGCAGCGATTTTGGATAAAATGGAAAACAACACAGAATAAACCGATGACAACCATGAAATTAATGTATGAATTATCACATATACCTTTGAACGAATCCTTTTCATATTTCCTTACTATAATGAAATATCATTTCAATGGTTTTCTTAGTTAGTACTTAATGTCAAAATTTAAAATTTAAATACCATGGCCATAAACAGACATAACGTAAACCACACGTAACCTTACAGACATTTCAAAAACACGCGGGTCTTTGCTGTACAATATTGACCGGATGAAGCATTTTTCGCGCATGCGTAATCTGCGTATGTAGATATATATTACATCATGTGTTAGTATTTTACATTATTCTACGCTAAAGGCTCTCTCTCACCAAAGTGATACTAATTTGCTTGGTAAATGTCTTAAATACACATGACAAGATTCGACTCTTTTGAAATTGTTCATCATTAATTTTGAGGAAAACAAAATGAAAATTTGAAGATGGTTAGACATCAGTTTAAAGTCTGTCAGACTGTGCTGATGTGCAGGGTGGCCTTGATATATAACGATGGTAAAGGCTTACCACTTTAAGGTCATGCAGACTAAGGTTTCACTAGTGATAATTAGTCCTATGTAATTGGGCCTTGTTTTAGTGATCCATCCGATATCTATCTAATAGAAATATTATAGGAGTATCTTGATTTGGATCTTGTTTTTGAATGTAATGTACTTATAGGTAGGTACAATGAGGTTCGGTAGCAAAATACAAGTGGTAGATCAAAATCTATTACCAAGCAAATATTAAGGTTAATTTTCAAATGATAATTAAGAGATACTTAATTGATGGTTCTGTGTTATGAAATGCACATGCCACGCAGACATCCCAAGTAAGCGATCCACCAACCAAGTCCAGTCAAATTCACCACCAGGTAGACTGCGATACTGATAAAAAGGCCTTCTGATCTCATTATCTTAGCTTTGGCCATATGATTTTCTACAATTGCACATTTTATTAATTATTGTTTAAAATATCAGGTATACCTGCGAATCTACTATTGTCATATTATTATTACACTTAAAATGATAGAGAAAATGTGACTGAGACCAGTTTTACGAGGTAATGTATTAATGATGCACAAACAGAGGTTACATCATAAAAGTAAATAATTATTTTCTATTTGCATCTTTTTGCTATTTTTGATACAAGTAGTTTGGCAAATGTCTAAGGTATACCGGATATGATAACAAACAAAATATTAAATACGTTATTGTGCGAAACACGAAAGTAACTTTCAAAACGATGGTCAGGTCGTCATTTAGACGACTGATCTCTAACAGTAAACATATTCTTGGACATATTTGTAATGCTGGTTAAAGTATATTGTCAAAGCACTTGTATGCGCTTATTCATTTATTTTGATTTGATTTACGTTATATCATTTTGGTCCCTTAATTACTTATGGTGTTACTCGTTTCGGACAAAGCTTTGTACAACGGACTCGGCGTTACATGTACTGTTGCACAATTTATGTGCTATTATTTACATTCCTGCGTAACTGGATATATACGATGATTATGCTGTGCCTTGATTTAGGCAAAAAAGCTTAATAATTTAATGTTATTTTATAAGACTTCAATTGAATAAATAATTTCCACCAAGAAGATACGATATACTTACAAGCACAGTATAAGTACAATAAAAAAATAGACCATAAATATTCAGTTACACTTTATCAAGAATAAAAAAAGAAAAATAGATCTAGCAAAATTGATTGAGGTAAAAGAATATATATATAAATCTATACATGACCTACTGCATTATTCATTATTACAGAAAACTACGTTGACTTTGCATGTTTACGTTTTTATTTATGATATCAATCTACAAATCGTACAAAATCGAAATACGTATAGAAAATGTGTTATGACTAAGGTCAATGAGAATGATCTTTTATTGCTGGGAGTGAGATAGACGATGTAAATGCATAGGATGATGAAAACAGCCGACAGTTCATAAGTAATACCATTGTGTATAGCCCTAAGTACGGTCCCAACAGGAATGTCGCTTGCCACTTTATTAGTATTTTGAATAATTGCTCAGAACTGACGTCATGTTAAGTACTTGTTGTAAAACTGACTGGTTAAAATACTTCAGGACATCAATTCATATAGAAGTATTGTCTATGAAAAATATAGCAAATAAAATGGTATTTATTATGTCTGTAAAACATGTGTAGTTTTCCATTAATTTTAAACTGATATATGTAGAAATTATTTAAGCTTACATTAAGGACAGATATTATGAAACAGATATTATGTTACACCCTGTATGTCATATATATAATCAAATGTTTTTGTAGAAAAAAAACTATATAGCTGTATATACTTTTTTAATTTTTTTTTCAATTGATTTGATTTCATTATTTTTATTCATTTTCATTTTTTTTTCATTTATTATTTATTTACAGGGTGATAATTCAAGAGTGGTAGCCGGATTAGACACGAAATTTAAAACTCTTGAAACAAAGTTAGAGGATATGGCCGCCCAATTAGCAGCGATTTTGGATAAAACGGAAAACAATACACAGGAAACTAATGACATCCATGTCATTAATGAATGACTGATAACAAATCAAAATATTTACTTATTTTTATATTTCTTCCCACAATGAAATATTATTTCAATTGTTTTCTTGATAAGTATTAAACTGACATGTCAAATTTTAAACTCTATGACCATAAACAAAATGTTTAAATTTCGAATTAATTAACTGTATATTCAATGACCCTTTGATCGGTAACTATCGGAATCAAAAATAGATATACACGGTTTTTAAAGAACGGCACAACAATATAGGCATTGGTTAAAAGTCCTACAACCCTTACTAACAAGGTGTAAAACATGATTTAAAGAAAGGTTATTAAGTTTAAAAATGTAAGAAAAAAAAATAAAATGGTTTATCAAGGATTTGAACTTGCAACTACGTAATAAAACTTAATAATGAACTCATTTCAGGCCACTTATGTCATTTTCACTAAGCCTGACCAATACACAAATTCTTCAACTTTCATATTGCCAGGCCTAGAACCTTAGAAACTTACAAGTATTTGACTTTTCTTGTCTTTTATATCTTTATAATTAAGTTATGTTTGATATTAGTTTCTACTTTATTGTTAAAATAGTTTTGTTATACTTTCTCATTTTTGTAATCATTGTAAATGATACTGCTGCAAATTTTCCATGAATCATAATCTATATTTAGAATAATTATGTAAAGAAATGATAAGCTAAAGCATTTGTAAAGTAAATTCTGTTTGGCTCAGATAAATGTTACATACAGTGCTACCTGTATGAAGATGTAAGCTCACTCTGGGATTAAGAAGTTTATTTAATCAGGTATCACATGGATTTTCGACATTCTGGTACTTATTTTTGAAGAAGTAATATCTCTGAAAGCTGTCTAATGTATATTAATTTATTATCTGTTGAATCTGCTTTAGGTACTTTGGCATTAAGTTAACCTTAGAGACGACTGATTTCACTAAAACATTTTTGAACATTTTTTAAGTAATTTTAGTAATTTCTTTTTTTAAAAATGAATTAATATCGTTTCTTCTTTTCCTAAGTAGAAGCCATCTTTAATTATTTTATCTTTATTTCATTTAACATAAATTAAGATAAGGATTTCTACTACTTAAATGTATTAGTGTTTAGCACAGAATCATTTAGGTTATTTTTCTAATTTTCAGTGTTTGCATAATTTAACAACAATAAACTACTTTAAATCTTGTTTATTTCTGATAATCTCATTTTTTTACTAAGAAGGAACTGTACAACGAAATTTTTTTTCTCGTAACTTTTTATATTGCTTAGTTATGCTGCATGAAGCAATAAGTTCCATATTTGATACAGACCGAGAAATTGCTTAGGGTCTGCTACTTACGCACATTCGCAACGTCTTTTGAAGTCTTGATAAGACCGACCTTTATTCACGATTGATACTTCCGATCACATGCCTATCAGTAACGTTTAAATCATCGGTGTATGGCAAAAACGAGCAGAGAGACACATTTACAAGTATTCACTTTCAAATTGGTACTACAGAGACAGAGATGGTTCGAAATGTTTTAGCTTTATTATAAAGTCTTTACAATAATCTATTATTGTACATGTTTTGTTTTTCAGATTTATTATGCCCGTATCTTAATTTACCTTAATTGCATAACTCCACCTTCAGACGACATGTTACGCGCTGTACCTATCACTTAATATAAACAACGTTTTTTTCCTACAAGCATTTTATGGGATAAAACTGGGATACACTTTAAAAATTTGATTTGAAATTGGCTTCTGATTAGATGAAAGGTGAAGCAAACTGTCAATTGTTTGTATTTTTGATATTGTATACTATTTTATTAATTATTTTAAATGTATATTTTCTATATTACTAGCTTCTAATAAAATCAATTAGTACTGATGATGTATTTTTATTTTATTTATTTTTTGCTTATTTTTGTTGTCGTTGTTTTTTGTTGTCGCATTTTAAGGAACGATGACACTGTATTTAGCCACATAGCGACTTTCCAGCTTTAAACTGGTAGAGGTAAATTCAGGTACACCTTACGTGCAATTATTTCAAGCAACGGACCTTACGTAAGCTAACTTGATCGCGCTTCCATTATTGGAAGTAATCACGAAACTGTCCTGACTGTGATTCGAACCAACAGTGGTGTAGGGTAAGTGAATTATACCGTGATTGACCTAAAACACCTGTTTAAATTAATGCATTTACAAACGCCACGAAACGGTTAATATATCTCTGCTCAGTAGCTACGTTCCAGAATATCCCTAGTGGTACAAATACTAAAATACCATTGGTAACATCAATCACCATTGGTACGAGTAATTGGCAGTTTACTCTGGACATGTTTGACCATACTATTTGTGTCATTGGCATTATAATAAAAGTTGGTATTCAACTTGAATCAATGGCACCCCAGCCGACTGATCTTAGTCATAAATTTGGACCATAGTTTAGTCCAGTTTTATTAGGATTTGTGTTGCTACCAATAAATGTTACTCAAAAAGAAATTATTTCTGCCTTATATGATTAATGAGGACACATATATCAATGAAAATCAGATCATTTTGACCTCAAAAACTACAGTACCTAAGCACTAGTGTGTCAGGAAACGTATCTACCAAATTTGCCTGTAAGCATGGGTACATTGGTATGGCAATGGTAGAAATCTACCATTGGTTACCACACTGGCCATAGCTTTCACAGAAACGATGGGTCCATCGCAGCGGCGGCGGTGTATTCGTCGCAGAAGCGGTTGATAAAAAATGTCCGTTTGCTGTTGTCGGTAAATTTTTGACAGAATTTTACTTTATGTTTTAATGATTTTCTGTAAACATCTGGTGAGACAGGAGTCCACATATGTATTCTTCTAACTTATTATATGCTCACGGTTCAATGTATTCCCCTTTATGTAAACACTTCTGTACAGTTTGACGAGGGGACGCCACTTTTGCCTAATTTTGGTTAAACACGTATAGACGTGTGCATAACGACCCCTTAATACACCAGCATCATACCGTATATATGATACTTGCACAAAACAACCATATTTTAAAACATTTGGAAATTGTTATTGCCTTTTATAAAAGAATTTAACAAAAATTGATAATAACGCAGACAGAGGCGGATTGTATTGCAACGCATTGCAGTAGGTCCGATAACATTAATGTCTATTGTGAGGGCTTAACTTGACATAACGCATTTTTCAATTGAGCACAACCATTTACTTTGACATCAGAGAAACGTTTGTTTTTAGTGTTTAAAACTATATGGTTATACATAAAAATAGATGTTCGAGTTCCGCTTCCATGTTCCTTCCATTGAAAATTCCTTTGGCCGGTATAGCCAAAGTTCAACAAACTATTTTATTGTATTTCTAAAGGTGTTGTTTTTTTGTGTGTGTGTTTTGTTTTGTGTGTGTTGGTGTGTGTGTGTGTGTGTGTGTGTGTGCGTGCGTGCGTGCGTGCGTGCGTGTGTGCGTGTGTGTGTGTGTGTGTGCGTTTTGTTGTATTTTTTTTTTGGTGTTGTTTTTTGGTTGTTTTTTTTTTAACAGATATCTATTTTGAGTTCGTTCTTGTAACCACCCGAACCGCATACGGTCCCATAACTTGTCAGGAATATTTATACCAGCTTTATAATTCAGCAAATTCCTTTTTCTTAGAAACAAGTATAATATTTCTTTATAATTAAACAGCAGACTATTGTATACCTTATAATTTAGTTAACGCTAATAAATTACAAACATTTATTAAATTCTTTGCATTAAATCATTTCAAATTTTATTGGGTGAGTTTATATATTTACTCAGATTGGTCAGACCGCCTTTATTGTTTGACTGTAACAATTATAGAAATTTATATTTACTTTTATGAACATAATAACGTTTAATATATTTAGTTCGCAATTCCTTATTATCTGTACAAAATGAAATTCGTCTTCAATTTCGTTCATATCACATACTTGGCTAAGAAGTTCCTGTATTTCTAACCTTTTCTGGCCATATCTGACGGATTCAATTCTTAACCAATGGGATGATATACTAAATTTCGTAAAACATATTCTTGAAGATTTGCAAGATAGCAAATTAACCGCATCTAGTTTTAACATATCAATATAAACTACGTGTATTTTAAAACGTAATTAACAGCTATATCAGCAAACCATAATTGTTTAAAACAATCTACAACTCTTTGTTTGAAAATCGGTATAAATATTTTTACTTAAATTTTAAACAAGGTATACCCAGTCTCTTGTACCATTAAATTACACTGTTATAGCGCATTTTGACAAATACCTTTTAAAATACGTAAAATTATATGTATAAAATAGTTTTGTAAAATTTCTTAGTCATTTACACATTATATATCCCGCTGTCTGTGTTTCTTTGTTAACTGACTTGTTTTTGTCTCTAAACACTTATTACTTCCATGTACATTAGTGCACGAAACACTCGCGCAGTTCGATAACAAAGGCGAGGTAGCTGGACGTTTATTTTTCCTAGTTTAAGTCGATGCTGAGTTATTTATCGGTATTTCTCATTATCTGATATTAGCTAGGTATATAAAGAAGTGTATACAACTATTTAGTTATCCAAAAAATCCTTTATATCTCGCACATTTGAATTTTTCACAGAGCGGTAAAATAATTACTCACTGTACACTTCTCAGGTGACATTTAAAATGTTAGGTAGATTAATCAACACCTGTAACTGTTTCAAAAGTTTTGAGGACAATATTGTATTTTCTTTTACGGTCGCACAAAGTTATTCGATTTCATATCATTTATTACAGTTGAAATCATACAGTGCTCATACAGTGCTTATTTATATAAATGTTTCGCATTAACACATTCAACATTAAACCACTCATTATCTACAATGTATATTTAACTAATGCTTATCAACAAAGGATCAGACACATCACAAATAATGTTTGAAAAATTACATATCATATTTCAGTACAGTCATTTGACAACGAAACTGAATCGTTAATAACGATATTAAGTATGGGTAAAAATTTGTATTAAGACGACCGTAGGGAGTTTTATTGTTTGTTTGTTTTGGGTTTTACGTCACATCGACACAGTATAGGTCATATCGCGACGTTCCAGCTTTACTGGTGGAGGAAGACTTCAGGTGCCCTTCCGTGCATTATTTCAGGCACGAACGGGCACCTGAGTAGAACCACCGACGTTCCGTAAGCTAGCTGGATAGCTTCCTCACATGAAAGAATCCAAAGTCCCTGATAGGGATTCGAACCCACAGCGGTGAGGGGCAAGTGGTTTGAAGTCAACGACCTGAACCACTCGGTCACGGACGCCCCAATGGGGAGTCTTATCGATCTTACCCAATCGGCTGTGTTTCTTTCTTAACTGCCTTGACAGACAGCCTAACGCAGAACTGACGTTGCATGGAGAGTCGATGACGAGCAATTTCGCATGTGTCAAGAAAATGACCCTCAACGGTACTCCGGTTAAAATACAGACCTGTGGCCGAAAGTTATGACTATTCCAAAAATACATAACCCCTCCAGTAACTGCCAAAACAAGAATAATCCCCCTTGCAAGTACCTTGTGTCAGGTTTTATACAGGTTATTGTCCTTCCGCTCAAAAGTGAAGATAGGCAGATTTGCTCAAAATGCTCAAGCAATTTGCATTCCAAAGTTCATTGTTTTACCTTTCGGACTGGACAAGCAACACAGCCTGCCTTTTAGGTTAATTCATCACCTGTTTTCCAAAGAATTCTTCTGTTCACGATTTCATACCGTAAGAATTCAGCTCAGTGTAATATATGCATTGCGATGAAGTTGTTTGGATATTGCAAAATCTCGGTAGACACGCACCTTTAGCAAAAACTGATATTCAGTCAACCTTTCGGTTACTGCCTATAAAGCCAAGCGATTATGAATTTGAACTAGGTATAAAACACAAAGGGAGACATTTCTTTGATAAGTGCTTGCCATTCGGGACATTTTTATCATGTTCAAACTGAAAATTTTTCAACATTTCTGGAGTGGTGCATGAAAGAGCGGTCAAAGTCTCGTAACATTAAGCACTACCTCGATGATTTTTTTATTCGGCGGGAAATTAAGATTTCCCAAAATAAGTTGTTTGAGCTTAACGAAAAATATACAAGTTACGTTGTCGAAAAAGAAAACTACACTGCAATATATTAAGTCTCTCAAAGGTAGCCTTACGTTCGCTTGTAAAG